GCCATCAGGGAAGATGTATCTTTACCGTTTTTACGTTAATCAATAAAAAACCCCCTTTATTCAAAAAAAAATGGTAACTGGACCAATTCAGTGTATTCGGGATCGGGCAGAATGCTGCCAATTAGGTGCTCTTAGGCTCACCCGAATAAACCTTTCCACAGAATGACCCAGTAGGGATGGTGGGACAAGTTCGGCTCCCGGCACATAAACCTTTCCACCCTTTGTGTCCACTTAAGTACCATTCCAGCTTAGACAGTCATTCTGTACATGGTACAGATATCAATTTTAACACATAAATACAAAAAGCTCTCTCTCTTTTTTGTTTTTTTTTTGTTTTTTGTTTTTTTGATGATGATGATGATGACGGGTTGCCTCCCGTTCAGCGCTTCTTTAACGTCGTTAGCTAGACGCTTTTCTCTTTCTTCATGCCTCCAAGGTTTGGAGGTACATTGCATTTTTCTCTCAAAACACATCTCCTCCTTCAAATTTCTTCAGGCGGTGACCATTGACCTTGAATTCACCATTCTTCCCTCGAATTTGTACCGTTCCATACGGATATACTTTCACAACTTCAAATGGACCAGACCAACGAGACTTCAGTTTGCTGGGAAACAACCTCAACCGGGAATTGTATAGAAGTACTTGGTCTCCTTCATGGAACTCCTTGGACTTTTTAATATGTGCATCATGATATTTCTTGACACGCTCTTTGTATAGCAGATTCTTGTGGAAAGCCAGCATTCTCCACTCATCTAACTCGTCCAGTTGGTAGAATCTGTCCCTTCTTGCTGCTGATGAATCTAGACACACATTTCTGAGTACCCAAAGCGCTTTGTGTTCAATCTCGACGGGCAGCTGACAAGATTTCCCGTAAACGAGATGGAAAGGAGTAGTTCCGATGGGAGTTTTATAAGCAGTTCGGAAGGCCCATAAGGCATCATCAAGCTTCAAACTCCAGTCCTTCCGTGTTTTAGCAACAGTCTTTTCCAGAATCGCCTTCAGATATCTGTTTGTGTTTTCCACTTGGCCTTGAGTCTGGGGGTGGTAAGCAACACCCCCTCTGTGTTGGACTCCGTATCTTTGCAAAGTTCTGGCCAGGGGATCATTTCGGAAATGTGTCCCTCTATCACTGATCAATACTCGAGGTACCCCAAACCTCGCAAACAACTTCTTCAAGAAACGCACCACCGTGCGTGCATCATCTTTCTGACAAGCTTGGGCTTCGGCCCACTTCGAGACGTATTCAACAGCCACCAGAATGTATTTATTCCCATATGAACTCGGGAATGGTCCAACAAAATCAATACCCCAGACATCAAATATCTCACAAGGAAGTATGTAATGTTGCGGCATTTCATCTCGACGAGTGATGTTACCCGTTCGTTGGCATTCCTCACATCTGGTCACAAATATTTGGGCGTCTCGAAAGATGGTGGGCCAAAAGAACCCACTATCCAGCACCTTTCGTGCAGTTCTTGTCCCAGAGAAATGGCCACCAACTGGACCAGAATGACAGTGTTTGAGTATTTCTTCTCCTTCTTCTTCACTCACGCACCTTCTCACCACCCGGTCTGCACAGATTCGGAATAGGTATGGGTCTTCCCAGAAGTAGTAGTGATCGAGCTTCCCGTTTGAGTTTTTTCTTGAGGTGAAAACAAAGCATGGTAGGTTCGATTTTGTTAGCTAAGTAGTTGGCAATATCGGCATACCATGGTTCCTTTTCATTGATTTTCAGTATTCTCTCAAACGGGAATGTCTCATCCACCTTGCATTCCCCAAATTGATTAGCCACCTCCGTGTCAAGACGAGAGAGGTGGTCAGCAGCTTGATTTGCAGACCCTTTCCGGTCCTTAACCTGTACATTGAATTCCTGCAAAAGCAGCACCCAGCGTAATAGCCTAGGCTTTGCATCATTCTTCTGAAGTAGGTATCTTAATGCCGAATGATCGGTATAGACAATTACTTCTGAAAGAATGATGTAAGGCCTAAACTTTTCTAGAGCATAAACGATGGCCAAGAATTCTTTTTCAGTGGTTGTGTAGTTCAGTTGTGGTCCCGACAATGTTTTGCTAGCATAGTAGATCGGATGAAAGTTTTTACCCTCTCGTTGGCCAAGAATAGCCCCGACTACTTCATCACTAGCATCGCACATAAGTTCAAATGAGTTGGTCCAATCGGGAGCCACAAGGACTGGTGCAGTGATTAACTTCTCCTTCAAAGTGTTAAAGGCTTTTAGGCATTCATCATAAAAAACAAATTCGATCCCTTTTTCTAGCAGGCGGGTTAACGGCTTAGAGATTTTCGAAAAATCCCTTATAAACCTCCGATAAAAACCAGCGTGGCCAAGAAAGCTACGAATGGCTTTAACAGAAGTTGGTGGGGGAAGTTTCTCGATGGTCTCAACTTTAGCCCTGTCAACTTCAACGCCCTTGCTAGAGACCTTATGCCCTAGTACGATCCCTTCCTTGACTAAGAAATGGCATTTTTCCCAACTCAAAGCCAGGTGGGTCTCCTCGCACCTCTTTAGCACTTTCTCCAAGTTTCCAAGACATTCTTCAAATGATTCCCGAATGATGGAGAAATCATCCATGAAAACCTCCATGAAATCGCCTATGAATTTCTCAAAGATAGCAATCATGCATCTCATGAAGGTGGCAGGGGCATTACCCAAACCAAAGGACATCCGCCGAAAAGCGAAAGTTCCAAATGGGAATGTGAAGGTGGTCTTTTCGTGGTCCTCGAGATTAACATGTATTTGAAAGTATCCACTCATTCCATCAAGGAAACAATAATAGGCATGCCCTGCCAGTCTCTCAATTAATTGGTCAATGAAGGGAAGGGGAAAGTGATCCTTCCGGGTGGCATCATTTAACTTTCTGTAGTCTATCACCATTCTCCACCCGGTGACTGTTCGACTAAGTACTAAGTCACCCTTCTCATTTTTCACAACAGTCATTCCTCCCTTCTTCGGGACAACATGAATAGGACTAACCCACCGACTATCAGAGATTGGGTATATAATACCTGCGTCTACAATGTTGGACAGGAGCAAAGCCAAAATTTCGGCCCAAATTCAGCCCTTCAGCCAAAACTTAGCCCTAATTTACAATACATGACTATAATAAGATAATTACTCCCTCCGTCCCAGTTGAAACTTCCCGTTTTGACTTGGTGCGGTTTTTAATGTAAAGGGAAAAAATCTTTGACATTCCCATTTTGCCCATCCTCTTTTGTTATCCTTTGTCTCACAAATCCCACCCACCCCTTCCAATTCTCCATCTTCTTGTGAGTCAACCCCCACCCTCTGGTTCTCACCTTTTCATCTTTCTTCCTTACAAGTATTTTTTCTTATTTTTCTTTCTTCTTCTTCACTTTGTCAGACCCTTACCCCATGTTTCTTCATCTTCTTCAACCTCTAAACTATGGATGAAAAAAATTAAACATAAAAAATGAAAATTTAAGTTTCAGATTAAAAAAATCAAAGAAATTAAAAATCAAATCTCTCCAAGCTCAACCCTCTCCCCTCCATTACAAATATTTATTCCTCTTACAATAAATTGAAAAAGAAATCGTGGAAGAGATGGAGAGAAGAAGGTGGGGAAGAAACAAAAAATCTGTAGTGATAGCTTTATCCGAGCAGGAAAATAGATTTTCCGCCGCCGTTGCCCCTCTTCATCGTGATAGATTTGCCGCCACCGTCGCAGGAAGATGGACTGGATCCAGATTTGTAAGCTATATGGCTAGATCTGTAAACTTTGCGGTGGGGCTGTGAAAAGGAAGAAGAAAGAAGAAGATGAAAGAAATGAAAGAAAAAGAAGAATCATGAACAAAGAGAAAAGACAAAAGAAGAAAGAACAAGAAATATGAAAAGAAAGAAAAAAAGAGGCGTAGGATATTGGGATTGGATGTTGGAACTGTAGAGCTGACAAATCGGTCGGTCAGGTCGAGTTCGGGTTCGGTCACTTCAAGTTCGGGTTATTTCGGGTTCGGGTCAATTCGGGTTCGGGTTGAGAACTGTATATTCATGACCCAGTGTCATCGGGTTCGAGTCGACCCAACGGGTTATGACTTTGGTTTTTTAAATTTTTAAAATTACATTAACGTTTACATTTTCTATTAAATAAATTTAAAATATCAAAAAAAAAGTATTAAATCTATAAAATTATTTTATTTTAAACTCTAAAGTAGTTTTTAGATATATAAATCAATATAAAGAACTTAAAAAATACTTAAGTTTGGAAAAAAGTAAGATAATTATGCAATATCATTAAAATTTTGTGACTTTTATATTTAAATATGTGATTTTTGCTCATTTTTTCACATATTAAAACTTTTTAAGAATGAGATCGCCCAGCCAGTCCAGCCCAAGCCCAAGCCAGCCCAAACTGGGTAAAAATCGCCCAGTAAAGCCCAAGCCAGTTGAAGCCCAAGCCTCATCAAAACCTTTGTTCAAAACCCAGTGTTTTCAGGTCGGGTTTTGGGTCAAAAAAAGGTCGGGTCACTTTTTGCCAGGTCTAGTTGGAAGGTGGAGTGGCGGAAAAGAATTAGTCAAGAAAAAAAGAAGAATAAAGAAAGGGTAATTTAGTTTTTTTGACAAAAAAAATTTGCCAAATAAGGAAACCGGAAGAAAGAAATGGGACAGCCCAAAAAAGAAAGTGAGAAGAAAGATATGGGACGAAGGAGTATAAATACACCTCATAGGCTTTTCCTTTCTCACTTCATCATTCTTTCCCATTCTCACTCCTCTACTTTTCTTCCACAAGTGTGTGTGATTTAGTTTCATATATATATATATATATATATATATATATATATATATATATATATATATATATAGGTTTTGGTTCAAATAAGAATGACATCTAACGAAAGAAATAAGAATTCCTCACCACCGTTGGATCTGGCTCAATCACGAAGCTCCATCCGTTCCAACTTGTGGGTATTTTGGGGCTTTTGCTTTTTGATAATGTATATCTCCTTTTATATCAGACTTCCTCTCCGTAACATTTGCGATCTATCTCCACCCTTTTCTCTTGTACGGAGTAGTTTTTTTCTTCTCTTGCAATCATTCTCATTATCTCATCGTTGTTAAAGGAAAGCATCTCCCATGGTGGCCATGGATTCTACAACAGAATCAAGTATGTTCGATTTTTAGTCTCCAAATCATAAACTTATTTTTTGTTATACTCTGTATATTTTTGGAGGGTTTCAATCATTAATTGGGTGTATTCAATTTTTATTCTCCAAAATATTGATTCCTTTTTTGTTGTATTAATTTTCTCGGTTTCAATCCTTAATCGGTATGTTCATAGGCATCCCACAGTCACCTTGTAGTGTTCTCTTAGCATATTGCAATGGATTGTACTTTGAAATTAGGTATTTCTCTTTGCTCGTTTGGAATTTTTCACAATAGTATTCTTTTTTGTGTCTATTTTTTGTCCTTATTTTGACTGTGTTGGTTGTTTCTACATAATAAATCTTCTACAGGCTAGGTCTACTACTCTAGAAAATTTAAATTCTTCTTCCATCGTGCTAGGTCTCTTGGAGTCCCCAAAAAAACGAGAAGAATCACAGTTTAGGAACTTACCAAGATGCGCGCTGCTCGAAATAGCCAAAAAGGATCACAGAGCTCAACAGATTTTTAATACTGTAGCACCATAAGGTACAATTTTGTTTGAATTTATATTTTTTCTTGTTAGATTGATGCGTTGGATGCATGCTTTTATTTGCTGGAGGGAAATGTGGTTGCTCTATGTTGTTTATTTGAGTAAAACGCAATTAGGATGCGATGGGCTTATTAATTCAATCTTTTCTGTTTTAGATTGTAGTGCGTATATAAAAAGTGGAGTTGGGTATGTACAGAAAGCATATGCAGACATATCATATTTTCACTTGTAACATGCTTCAGTTCATGAAAAAGCTTTGCTGTGATATGCATTTATAGTATGGAGTTTATGATTTTCTTGGGGTATTTAAGGAAACTAAATCCACAAAAATATATACATAAAAGGGAAAGCAGAAGAGGTTTACACTGAAGTTCCACAAACTCATACAAAACTTCGATATCTAAGCATGCTTTGGATAGAAAGAAATACATAAGAATGTGTATGATATCCATCAGGTAATTTAATTTATATTTTTGTGTTGCAGTTCGGACCTCTAGTGGTGCATTCCAGCTTATAGTAGCTGCAACATTCAATAGCAGAAAGATACTCTAACTATTTTTTGAATTTTAATATTAACACAATACTATTTTGCATGATGAGCTACTCCATTGATTTCTAAATGTTGCTATTAACTTTATGTGTTTCAAATGGAGCACTAGTGCTTAACTTGAAATTGGTATAGAAATTTTAGTGTATTGCAGTGTGGACCTTCAGTTATGCATCCTAGTTTATATTAGCTGCAACGTTCCGCAACAAATATATAATTTATCTTCCTCTTTTAACGTCAATAAGAAGTGTCTTTTTTTGAATCATAGTAGGTATACATTTTTGTTTGTGTAGTGCATAATGTTATTTTTGCATATCTTAGAAATATATTTTACTGAAAAAAAGGTTTAACATCAATATGAAGCGTCATTTTTTGAATCATAGTAGGAATACATTTTTGTTTGTGTAGTGTATAATGTTATTTTTACATATCTTAAAAATTTATTTTACTCGAAAAGGTTCAGCTGACCTTTCTTAACGTTTGGTCTATTATGATATGTAGTGACCAACTTTGAATCAAGACAGAAAAGGGAGATGGGCTATAAAAGAGGAGGCAGTGGACATCCCAAGAACCATTTTTGTGTTCCTTAAACAAATTAACTTTTTTTAAGGGATATTGCAGTTTAGTATAGTTGTTAGTGCACAAATTTGCAGTAGATATACATATGCACTGTTGAATTTGTTTGTTCACAATTTTCTCTGAAAGTGATACATTGGATAAAGAATGCTTACATAGTACATAGATGACACATTATGATCTTATAAAAATTTTGTAATTATGCTTCTGTGGTGCATTTGAGGGGAAAGTGTATGACTAATGGATAATACGGAGTATGTATGTTGAATATGAGTAAAATCATAATGTGTAAGAATTTTTTTCTTTAGTCATGATTCTAATGTTATTCTTTGGTTTAACAATATTTTTCAAGTATATTGAATTAAAAATAATTTCAGTCGAACATATTAAACAACAGTGGTTAGCTTAAATTCAGACAGGGAGAGTTCTATTTTCATCTTAGATAATCAATGGTAGTAGTTTCCTCATGGCTTTGCAAATTATAGACAAATTATACTCTGTACGTGAACAATGCAAAAAAGAACATTTTTGGTGCATTAAAATCATTCCAAGTTGCACAACAAGATAAGTGAACTTAGAGGACATGTAGTCATTATATACTCTTCCATCCCATAATGGATTACATAGTTATTATCACATTCTCTCAAAAAATTTTGTTTATTCGCTTGTTCTCATTGTTCATTGATAAAAGAAAAAATGTCACATCTTGTTTTGTAAAACTTGTAACAAGTGTAGGAGTGCGGCAATACAATATTCATGTCTGAATTTATTGTTATAAGAGTCTAACCAATAAATCGAGGCTATGTGTCTGTAACGGTGCATTTTTAGAATCAAGACAATGCATTATCAGATAATGGCAATTCATCTTAAGATTAGAGTGCGTATTTCAACCATTGAATTCCTTATAACACAAATTTTGTTATTCGAAATGCATTCATAGATTTAGGTATATCACACAAGGACGGTTAGACGACATAAGTTAAAACCCACAAATTGATCAACTACCCGAAACACTCCTTTTAAAAAAATTGCCCCTAATTAGTTTGAGAACAAAATGGCAAAGGAGATTGCATTTGTCAAACATCACAATACATTCAATCTCACAACATAAAATTAGGTTAAATACAGTGCATTCTCAGCTTTTCTCATCGCATACAAAGTCTCTCTGAAGTCATAATTTACTAATAAACAAATTAAAGAATATAATTACAATAAAAAAGACGAGCATATATTGATTTTAAACAAATTAAAGAATATAATTACACAAGATTTGAATCATACGCACATCCTAAAATATACATATATTAATTTATTTATTTAGTTAGAGAAAAAAGACGAGCCTTGATAAATTTTACTTTTTTTTACTTTGAAATGTGAGAAGATAATATCAAAAATTTATGTTTGATATTGGTGTTTTGGCAAGATTTCGACAAGAGATTTCCAAAGGTAAATTTATTTTTTGGGAAATTTACTTAAATAGTACTAAAACAAAATGATTTTCCCTAAATAGCATCACATGTGTTTTTCTTCGCATTTTTAGTCATTATGCATTAGTCATTATTCAAGTAAATATTCACTATCACTGGACATTATGGACATTATTAAGTGTTATTTAGAGAATAAAACAGTTTAAATACTATTTAGGGAAATGACTTAATTTTTAGTGCTATTTAGTGCAAATATTTATGATTTATTATCCTAACTTAAAGCATACGGAGTACGTAGTAATGTGCTCAATACATGGGTGTGATGTGGCCATTTAATGGAAACACAATTTAATACGCAAGATTGTGCTAAAATCGTGGATGATGTGGCAAGTGTTTTCCCTAATATGCCCTTTTCCATTAGGTTTACGTTAAAATTGGCCTGCCACATTAATTGTAGTCAATCTCAATTACTTTTTCTTGCATCAATGGGAGCCGTTAGATTTACAAGATCAATGCCTATTGTCTATTCTTATTTCTTTCATTGTGAGTCATTCTTACTTGAACCACACCCTATATATATATATATATATATATATATATATATATATATATATATATATATATATATATATTCTTCTTTCTCTTTAATTGACACCTCAAGATGCTCTAAGACACCACTCAATTTGGGAAGGGTGTTTAAAGGTAAGAAAACATTCTCCCCTTCTCAAATGGTGACTAGGAGTAAAGCACGACTTTTAGATGAAGGTAGAAAAAAGACCCCTATAGGTTGCCTGGAGGACCCCGACGAACCAACAGATACATTCGCTGCCGAGATCATAGAAGCCTTCAAGAAAACCTGTCCTTCCCAGAAGGAGGTTCCTCCTAAAAAACAACAACAACCACTGACTAGAAGCCAAAAAAAGAAAGCCAAAAAGAAGCTTAAACAAGCCAGGTCAGAAGATCAACTAGAAGATTTCTTTTAATCATCATTTTGACTTTGGTTTTTGTGACGAGATTTCGAGCTTGGCAGTTAACATGCCAAGCTATGGTGAGTGTTAGAATAAGTGCCCTTCACTAGAGGGGGGTGAATAGAGAGGCACGAGAATGTATATAAATTTTCACGGAATAAAAATCACAGGGAAAAAGTAAAGAGCGGAATAAAAAGGAGTAAAGGGAGCACACCAAGATTTATACTGGTTCACCACAACGTGTGGCTAGTCCAGTCTCCTGAGAGACTCTCTCGAGCTACACTACTTCCGTTAAGCTTACGGGTGCTTAACAAACCGTTACAACCTGAGAACTCGAGTCCCACGAGCCTCAATACACTTGCTCGGAGATACCGCACTCCAAGACTTCAACCCGAAGGAATATGCCCTTCCTTCGTACAACCAAGGGAACAAACCTCCCTTAAAGTGTTCACAACACTTAACCACTCAAGAACAAAAACTCTCTTAAAGAGTAGAATATGAGTAAACTAATTTAGATCAAGAACACACTCAATTCCTCAAGAAATGGCTCTAAATTCCTCAAGAACACACTCAATTCCTCAAGAACGTCTAATAATGTTGGACAGGAGCAACATTATTTTGTGAAGCCTTTTGGTATGGTAACCTGAGATAATTAAATAGAAATTAAAGGCTTGTTTCGCTAATGTAAGTGGCAGGGAGTATATGCCATTATCCAATTTTCATAGAGTATCCAGTATCCAGGTTTGAAAGACAGAGCAAAAACTTGAAGCAGACAGTGGGAAACTCTTCATAGTCAGACAGATTGCAAGAGGTTTAGAAGTGCATGAATGTGTTGACATGGATTTAAAAAATAAGTAAAGCAAAAAGTTTGTTGTTAAGATTAGTTATATGAAAGGAGTTGTCTTGCATATAAAGATGACGTTTTGGAGATGGTCATTAACTTACCATACAAAGTTATAGTATGTACGTAAATGAAAAGAAAGTTTTAGCACCAAAGTTAACACAGTTATATCTAGCAAACAGGAGAAATGGCCAAATTATATACCTAGCACATCCCTGGAGTGCGATATAAGAGTTGTAAACGATGACAGAAGGTTTTAAAAAAAACAACTAATATATTGGGAGGGGTGTAGAAAAGTAGATAGGGAATAGTGTATCACATGCACTGTCCAAACAATGAACAAAGGGACATGGTAAACAGTTTAATTTTCAGTCATTAGATATTACCAGTCAATAAGCAATAAGATATAAGGTGGAGACTTTTCCTTCGTTTTGGTTGCAAAGTTCAGGGTGTACTGATAATTGTCGTTTTAGTGAAGTTAGATAAGATATAATCATGAATGGAAAAGCTTCGAAATATCCTAATTTCATAAATAGAAAATACCTGGTAATTGGTATGACTAAGTTAAAGCAATGATAATCTTCTCAGATATGTGCAAAAAGGATCATTTATTTCCTCTCTTAGAGAAGCATAACCGATCTTCAGTATGCATATGTATGAAGGTCAATGTTTATATATTAATTGAATAATGATCAAAACATATACCACACAACATGCTAAACACATGGTGTGTTAGATACGTAAATACCTAAGAAGGAGTACGTTCCAATGGGAGTTCTATAATAAGAGACTTGGATTTTGTAAGAAGGCCAAGACTCTCAGTTATGTGTAATATATGCCTTCTGCTTGGGTACTGAATGACTGGATATTCCAATGACTACCTGCTTAGCGGACAAAGATGCCAATGGTAAATAATAGACCCTATTAGGCGAAAAAACACTGATGAGCAATGACAGTAAACAATATTTTATAGAAAATAAACCATGCAGCTGTTATAGAATAATAACCGACATATTGTTATGGACTGAAGGAGTACAAAAATCTGAGGCACCAGAATCATGTTGTTGTTTTCAAGCTTGGTGTCCTCCACAACACCACCCCCAGTCCGGGGATGATATGTTTGTGAAAAACTGACATCATCCACCGTTATCATCACTACTACTTCTATTACTACTCCTTTCAGACTTTCCTGTTTTCTGTGTCAAAAAATCTTTCATTTCCTTTGAGATTTATGCAAAAGAGAGAAATTTTGTGAAATATTTAATGTTTTCTAAAAATGAATGACCCCACGGTTAGCGCATTCTATTGGAGCTTCTCATTCTCCAGCACTTTAAGGACAACAAGAGCGCCACCTGTGCACATGGGATTCCCACCAAAGGTATTGAAATAACACCAGTTCGTTAAGGCATTTGCAATGTCTGGTGTGGTGACAACAGCTCCAAGTGGAATGCCATTCCCAATTTCGTAATGAGAACCCCAAAAAAACAAAACTCCATATGTGTTGTGGGTTTTTGGGATTCGAAGCAAAAACTTTACCTTTGCCATGGTGACAATATCGGGCACAACTTCATGGGCCTCAAACTCCTTAAAATGGCTCCATGTCCCACCAAAGCCTGACTGGACCTCATTGGCTATACATAGACCTCCAACATTTCAAATAGTACTATACCCAGCTGGCAAGTAGGCTGGAGCCAGTTCCATGATTCCCCCAACACCCTGTCAAGAACAGGCTTTAACCATTAGTAGAGCTCCTAGGTCATATTTATATGATATGTTGGGATATAAACCAACTCCCATACCGGATGGAGAAAAAAGTACAAATCCAATAGTATTATTCTTTAGGAAGGTGGCTAAAAACAAATCCGTGAAGATTTGGCCTAAACTGTGTAAGACATCATACTAATGCGAAGTCAGGGGAAACGGCACATCATTCAGCTAAGCAATACGCCTTCGTGTACGGGTATGTTTTAAATATTGATACCTGTATGGTTTCAGCAATAAAACCAGCAACACGGCCGGTTGTCCCATATGTGAGAACATCATCAACGTCCCTAGCATATTTTTTCCCTTCGAAGCCAAATACGCCCTATAATGATTAGGATTCAATGTATGGTGCACTGCTGTCTGTCCAATCTAGTAAAGAGAACACACAGTCACTAGTCAAGTGAATGAAGTTCAGATTGCAAAGAAACTAACTTGTAAATGATGGTTCTATTTCTGCCACTATATGAAAATATTAGTAACATCCATATGCACCTGCACTATATTGAATTTATAGGTAGAGTGTGCAGTAGAAGTCATCGTAGCAGACGCATTACTGTGGTAACCGGTGTTCTTGCTGATATCATATATCAAAGCATGGCAATAAAACGATGATCCCTATACATGTTTACTTTTTAAAAAGAACAAAACATATGCCATACATGGCTATTCTACACTGACTTTATGTATATTCCACACACTTACGGTTTCAAAATCTGTCGAAGTAATGCAAAGAATTTCTGAAATATTTCTTAAACCTGGTAAAATAGTGTCTCTGTTGATAACTGGTTTTTGGAATATGAGTGGTTTAATTGTAGAGTGCTTTTCACAGCTGAATCATTACCAAGCAATTTAATATTAAGGGCAACATTAGTACAGGAGTTGAATGTAGCATAATAATGATGAGTTTAATGTATCATAAAAATGATGTACTAAAAAGGAATGCATACTTGTTTTTTAAAGCTAAAACTTCATCAATGTCAATGTTGAGGAACACTTTCGTCACCGTGGTTGAAGATAGGGCAGGTGAATCCGTGATTTCACAGATTTAAAGTCAAAAAAAGGAGAAAAAAACTTCATATATCAAACTGTAATGGATATGAATGGAAACGACGCACTCATGAATTCCTTCACCATAGTAGATGTGAAAACACAGGCAATAATGCTCCCTTCTACAGCTTTCTTTTGCTCCATATATTCCACAATACATTCACCTTACAAAGTCAACCTCAATTTGGCATCCCTAAGGATTCATGTTTTGTGGGAAAAAATAACTTAAAATACATGAAACACACCATATGTAGGATATAAGTACTTCTCCTAAAAGACTGACATATATGTAGGGCAAATGGGCAATATGTACTTTTCTTAAAAGACTCACATATATGTAGGAAATATACTTCTTACGTAGCACTTACCTTACATCTTGCAGTTCTAGCAGAAGGCGAGGCACCATACGATCATGAATGCGCTTCTCCTCAATCTTCCCCTCACTGCAAACGCGGCCAACTACATCTGCAAAAATGTAGGAACTGCCCCAACAAAAGCTCAAAAGGATAAAAAAGGCCTAAACCTTAGCATAGATTTAACGCAACTATAAGAAAATCCTTAAGAAAGTGGCAACATCAACCTTTTGCAATGCTAAAAGATAGATTCAAGATGAAAGACTTCAAGCAACACTTAAATGAAATGCCTTGTTGTACTTAAGTGCAGGTCGAATGGAAGAAACGAAGACCGATCATCAGGAATGAAAAAAGCAGGAAGCTTGCTTCATTGCAAGAAGCCTAAGACTCTAGCAGGACTACCAGCGGGAAACACAGATAAGGGGGTAACAAAACCAAAGAAAAGTATGAATCCATCCTCTACAACCGTTCAAGCCAGCACAAAAGAAAGAAAACTTTCTCTAATAAATGCCATCTATCTCACAACCACCTGCCAATGCTTGCTTAAGCTTCTTTTTAGCAAAGGATGGCTCAGAGTCTATGTCATCCTCCCGATCCCACCCAATAAGATCTTTATTTCTCAATTCCCTCAACTATTTAGCTCTACTTCTGGTAACCATTTTTGATGGGGAGAACATATGCCTACCTTTGTACTCTCTACTCAAATCAAAAGGCACTTTGTACATTCAACTTTATACACACACACACACACACACAACAACAACAACAACAACAACAACAACCCAGTAGAATCCCACAAAAGCATGGTCTGGGGAGGGTGTGTGTATGCAGACCTTACCCCTACCAAAAGTAGAGAGGTTGTTTCCAATATGTGTGTGTGTGTGTGTATATTGTTGGACAATGTGCTATCATGAATATATATTTTTGCAATGTCCTTTGCCCATTGTCTTTTAGGTTTTGATAATGACAAAAGGGTGACAAAACATCATCATCATATTGTGCATCAAGGCTAAGAATTAAAGCTACAACAAGTTCATATCCGTCTGTGAAGAAGGGACTTGAGCATCAGTGGGAGGAACGAGTCCGAAGAGGTTGTTTCCTTAGTTGGGTAGTGTTTTAGGTCTTAGATTATGTGTTAAAGAGTATGGCATCTCTAAGGTTCATTCCCTTATCATCATACCTCCTAAACACATTTTTTAGCAAACTATTCGAATAAGTTGAAAACTATTCGAATAAATCCCTGAACTTCTCTTCTAACTTAGTTGAATAAATCCAGAACTAGTTGAATAAGTCAGATTGCAGTTTCACCAAAACTAGTCGTCTAACTCTTGATTTAGTCAAAAAGTTTCGCAGTTTCAACTACCAAACGGCTAGTTTTTTGAATGCTTTTCATCCCTATCCACTCCCTAACTTCTATAAACTACCCTATCTCGTGTTTTTGGCCAAGAATATACATTAAAAACACTTCAATAACATATCCTTTGAATATCCAAAGAGATTCTACTCAATCCCCTCCTTATATCCAAGCAAAGGCAATTGTTTTGATTGCTAAATCATTTCTTGCTTGAGTTTTTCCTCATTGCTTGAGTCTTTGAGATATATTGCCATATTCTAAAGGACTTCATTATATTTGCAACAATCTACTCCGTGTTGGGAGAATTACTCGGTTGCGGTTTGTTTTCTTACTTTATTGTAAGGGATTTGTATTCTTGGTGTTGGGATTACACCAAGTGGTAGAAATCCTAACGGTTTGTGAAATCAAACGTTAGGTGGAAGAAATCCCGAGTTTTGTGAAATCAAAACTTCGGTGGTAAGATAAGAGCCTTGTGAAATCAAGTTCTCGAGTTGTATTCGGATTGTCAAACTCCGTTAAGTTTGACGGGTTAGTGAAGGCCTGGGCACGATTGCTTCGGGGACTGGATGTAGGCATTTAGGCCGAACCAGTATATATCATGTGTGCATTGCTCTTATCCTTCACTTTATCTTGTTTGTGGTGCATTGATTTTATTGAATATTCGTGAAGAACGTTTTCGCGCAAAAAACTGGCCTTTTGGGCAACACCTCTATTCACCCCCCCCCCCCTCTAGAGGTGTGCGAGGTGTCTAACATATATATATGATTTAAGATCAGAGTTAAAGTAAATACACTAATATAAAAGGAAAGAAATTGGAAGTTAAAGCAAATACATAAGAAAGGAAAGAGCTTTGCACTTTTAGAGCAAGAATCTATCCTTTAGAGAATAATATTAATATCACTCAATACTTGACTTGCAAAAAAAAGTTACTCAAAGGAGGAAGAAGGGACTTGGGAGCAGAGTCAATACCAACTAAAACAACCTCGCCACATAGACATTCTCATGATGGAATGGGAGTTTGACACTAAATAGGCTAAGCCAAGGTGCCTTCTAGAGAGGATCTGTGTGCATTCTTAGCTTCCAAAACCTAAGAGCAAATCAAATGAGTTGTTAGAACAAGAGCAGAAGTACTCTTAGATGAATTGTTCATATATAGTAGCATCCTAAGAGCGATTATCCATGGTAGTAGCAACACTACCCTTCAAATAACACTATTTTTTGATCTAAGGTAACACCCATCTTCAAATAATATAAAATATAAACCCAATAAGTTATAAAGATACAAATCAAAGAAGATATTTCACAAATGGGATTTCATAAATAAGTTAAATAAATATCAATCATTTAAATCTTAAGAAATAAAAAGATAGACCAAACATATGACAAATCTTTTATACATAAAAAAGGAGAGTTGAACTATCAGAATCGCGAAATTTGGCATGATGATTGGGATTATTTTTTTGACACTTCATCAGTCCTGTCATCAAAATGGACTTCCTCAATATTTCAAACGGGTTGGATAATGATTCATTTATTTGGGTGACTCTATTTGTGAGACTGTGGCATTCATCCGCAAGTCTCAACGCAAGAAGGAAACGAGATATTAGCAAACATGTGGAACTTTCCTTCGATTTCACCTCCCTGCAATAATCATCTTCGAACGGCTCCACCGCGAGATATCAGCGAAGATGTGATTGGAACTTTCCTTCAATTGCTCCTCTCTGCGATAATCATTTTCGATCAGTCTTCTAGGCACATCCTTGCCATAATCTCTGCAAAATCTTCGATTGGGAAATCAACAATATTGATCGGGATTAATCTCGGTAAAATATTATTCTTCCATTAGGATATCAATGAAGATTCATCGAAATTAATCTCTGTGGCATAGATGATGCTAGATCTCCATGTATGGACAATGGAAGATGCAAAAAATATTTCCTGAAACAATTTGTTGACAAGGCACCGTTTGATGAGAGTGGGTACCCAATATACAGATGAGGAAACATGGGTATCACCACAAGAAGCTAAGAAAGGATATCGAGTTGAATAATCGTTTTGTTGTTCCATACAACCCACAACTCTTGATGAGGTATCAAACTCACACCAATATTGAATATTGCAACAAATCTAATTCAATCAAATATCTCTTTAAAGATAGCAATAAGGGTCCGGATAGAGTAACTATTGTAGTTACCTAATCTAACTGTGGCACTGTTGGCAAAGAGGTGTGTGATGAAACAGAGAAATACTAAGTATTGATGAGGTTAAATTTTCATCTCCCATGACAGAAATTTGTCACTTTTAAAGAGGAACAAAATCTTAAAGACGTTGCCAGACAAAATCTTTACAAATCTTCAATGTTTGAAGCTTGGATGATTGCCAATTCAAAGTACAATGCGTGACAAAAGTTAACGTATGTAGAATTTTCAGGACATTTTGTGTACAATATCAAGGAGCGGGAATGGTTCCCGAGGAAACAAAGACCATCAATAGGCTGGCTACAATATGTGTCTGCAGGAACCGGAGAGTTATACTACTTGAGAATAGTATTAACTATCCAACGAAGGTGTACAACTTATAAAAGCTTGAAGACAGTTAACAATATTCTGTATAACTCATTCGAGGAAGCATGCGATGCTTTGGGGTTACTAACCAATGATACAGAATTTATTAAAGGTACTCCCTCCGTCCTAAAATTAACTTCTCACTTTCCTTTTTTGGTTGTCCTAAAATTATCTTCCCATTACTTAAAATGGCAAGGCTTACTATGATAGATGACAATAATGCCCCCATCCATTTATGCTTTCCTTTTCACCCTCAATTTCCCTTAGTGTTTCAATCTTCCCCATCTCTCCCCAGTATTTTTCCTTCTCCGGTCATCTACCTTTTCTTCTCTTTTCTTTTTGCTTAATTTTCTTGATTCATACAAAAAAGAATCATCAGTGCTGGATAGTCCCCGCCCAAGAAAGCTTCTATCGTCACCATCTTGGAGTATTATCGACCCACCCCGCCGTCTCTAAAGGTTACAGAGTTTGCACTGCTGTCTCTATGGGTTATTGAATGTTCGCCGCCGTCTCTATAAATTATCGAGTTTTATTGCCGTCTCTATGGGTTATTGAAGCTAAGGCTCCTCCCTTTTAGATCTAAAAGTAGAAGAATAAATTCAATCTACAAGATCTCTGTTCTTTTTAATTGCTTCATGAGACATGTGATTCTTTGTGGTTTTATTTGGGTGAACTGATTTTGGAGATAACATAGATATGAAGAACTGAAGAACCAATTCAATTTCCAAATGGATTTGTTTGATTTGGAGAATTTTTCAGAATTCCCATTTGGGAGTGAAGGTTTGGCTTTAGATGAACATAGGGGTATATTGGGAAAGTCAAAGTAATTTTTACACTTCCTTAAAAATCACTCTCGGTCAAAGCGGGAAATTAATTATAGGATGAAGGGAGTATAAAAGAGGGTGCTGAGTTAGGTTCTGGGAATCAGCTTAGAAAGTTGTTCGCACACTATTAGTGACAATGAGTCGCACACAAATTGTTTGAGAAAAATCGTGGGAACTAGTGGTAGATGGAATGTTATTTGATCAAAGGAGACTATTGCGTAATCAAGGTATTCCAATAGAGAAATATTTTTTTAACATATTAATCCATATGTAATGCATTGTTTTGAAAATAAACATTTTATACAGTACTGTGTAAGAATTAGTTAACTTCTATATTTTATAATTTTTTTAGAGCTTATACTTTCTCGAGAAGGCCTAAAGAACTTATGTTTAATTGAGATTTTGAATTTTTTCAACTCAAATGGATGGACTTTAAGAGAATTCAGTTGTATGCCATTTCCAAATGTCAGTCCACTCAATACCTTTCAAAATATACCCTGAAGTCTTTCAAAAAAATTTTGGTATTAAAATAAACTTTGTTGTGTACACATTTCATTCCTCAAATATTATTCATGTTACTTTGGTTTTTTTCCATGTTATTATAAATCATGTAAGAAATATCTTTCTTTATTCCAAAAAAATACTACAATGAATAAAATTCAAAATTGACAAGATATTCGTTTGACCCCGTGCATGGCACGGGTCAAAATGTTTGTAGTGTTTAATAGAAAACTATAAACTATATCAGTAAAACAGAAAACTGTATCAGTTTTCTTGTGAATGAGAAGGAAATTCCGGCAGTGAACTGTGATGATATCAGTAAAACTATAGCTCCAAGTCTTCACTAAAAGTGAGAATCTCTGTTGTTAAGATGTAAGCTAGAATGATATTTATTTAATAAGTTTTCTAATGTATTTATGCAAAGATTTTAATGTATTTTTTAGAAATCCCATATGGTGTGTAGCTCCAGTAGTGAAAATCAAACAATGAAGATTTGATTCTTGCTGATGAAACTGCCTTGAAAAATAAACCAAACTGATGCAGCTTTCTACTTTCTCAGTGGAACAATCTGAAATAGTTGCAAGAAAATATTTCTCGCAACCCTTGAAGGAAAGCCACCATATGCTTCAATTATGAGCACATCATTTCACTTATGCAATTAGAGTCCTAAATCAAGGGTCTTAACTTGAATCATAAGATCATAGAGCAATGTTTAAAACTTATAACATGTACATTATTTAAAAAATAGCCATCAATCATAATCACAACCTCCAAATAAATAGAAACTGTAACAATCGTATCTTTATAGCATCCTAATAAATGAGATTTTGAAATAAACGTAGAAGCAATAGATAGTACATGCAACATGAGAAATAACATTATAGACGGAGGAAAATTTCAGATGGATTCAGAGACTTCTAACCGTAAGAGATGTAAAAATCAAATGTTGAATGAATGAATGAATGAAATCAAACCATATGTGGGAGGACATTGCGTTATGGCAAGGAATCTTCTTGAACGAATGATTTGCAATGAATTGAATCAAAGCATTAGAGCACAACAAAATCAAATGTGCTAAAGAACTTAAGGCATACCATATCCCAGCATTTCCTATAAAAGTTGATAAGAGAGTTTGAGTGGGCAATCCTGGAAAGAAAAAGAGCTTTAAGATGGCATGGCTGCAGTCCTGCACCCTTTATCTAGAACATACACTAATACCAATTCCATTTTTAACTACAAAATCACACTAATTGGTAAGTAAAACTGTAAATGATTTTTGGAATTGTTCTAAATCATATAAGAATTTAAGTACTAAATAAAATTATAACTATAAATTTGAATAAAGATGGAACAAAGAGAAAGAAGAAACAGGTTTAGGATTTACTTGCCACCACGTTGAAGGAAGAAAACTTGGAGTTTTATACTTGTACTCGCCGCATGTAGTGGTCTTGCCAGGCCAGCCCCCTCAATCGCCTCAATGAGCCTCAACCTTTTTCTTCGTTTGTGAGAGGAGGTGTTAAAATGAAATCGAAGTTCGAGAACGGCAGAATCATTGGCGCTCTTAGTTGTGAAATCAGCGATGCCGTGGGACGTATAGGGTAAAATCAAGCTCCTTTGGTGGTTAGAAAGAGGGAAATCTAAGATGATATTTAAGAGATGGGAGCATAGATACATGAATGGAAGAGAAATGAATCGTTCATCGATCTCCTCCGCTGGAGCGTCTGTTCAAAAACCACCAATGCTCGTAACCCTCGTGGTATAAGACTCCACATCATACGCCATGTCACCTGCCAAGTGTCATCCCCACAATTAATTAACCCTACTTCATATATATATAGTATAGTATATAGTATTCTTACCCGTGCAATGCATGGGTTCGGACGAATATCTTGTCGATTCTGAATTTATTCAATGGAATATTATTTCCCAGAATAAAGGAAATATACCTCATGCATGATTTATAATAACACAGAAAAGAAAGGCAAAGTAAAAAGAATAATATTTGAGGAATTGAATCTACACACAACAAAGTTTGCTTCAATACCAAATTTTTTGAAAAATTCCAGGGTGGACAACATTTTTTGTATGGCTGCAAGGATTTCCATTGTCATCTAAGACTAATATTTTTACTCCTGTCTTTGTCTTCACTCGCAAAAGAGTAACATAAAGCTGACCATGAGTGAACACTGAATTGGTTAAAAATAATCCAATAAATGACAATAATTGACCTTGATTTTTGTTAATAGTCATAGCAAAACATAAGACTATTAGAAATTGTCTTCTCTGGAACTATAGAGGTAGTCCTGGATCAGACGGTACCAAATTCATCTAGGGTATGTAAACTTTTTCGTCCACTCAATTTCCCAAAACCACAATAGCACCAATAACATTCTTTTGCATCTCGTCAACAATTAATCTTGTACCATTGCACAATCCAAATGTTGGGTCAATGTTCCTCAGTAACATAATTGGTACCTTTTTTTTAAAACTATCCTGTGGTTTGGCATTCCCGAATATTTGATTTCATTCAAAAACTCAATTGTTATCCAGTCGCCATCAACACCTACATCTGAATCTGCTTAGCATGATGAATCAGAACTCAAATACACCATTTCATCTTCGGGAATGAGGGATAAGACAAATTCATTTACCATTTCTACAACTTCGAGCATGGGTGCTAGTAGTGCCCTGTCTTCAAAAAAAGAATAACTTCTCATATTCTCCAATAAGTTCGGATAAGTAAAGTCCACTATACTTTTGAGGGGTGAGCTATTATCTATGATCAAAAATTTGAGAGGAATTTCAACGTCAGCAGTTCCATTAATCACTTGTCCAAGCTTTCCATCTCCAACTTTGATTATCCAATCAGAAAAATCTTGCGTGTCTTTATCTATGCAAGAGGACGTTGATGAATGCAATCTCATATTCTTCGTCAACTTAAAAACTTTACAATAAGACCACAAATTTGAAGAATTAATGGTAGCACCTACAATTTCCTGTCTTGAAGTTGTGGGTAAAATAGGAAGAATTTGTCTGAAATCACCTCCGAGTACAACTGTTTTCGCTCCAAATGGTTCATTTATTAAGTTTGGATTAGAGAACTTCATTAGATCTCTCATCGTGCGATCCAATGCTTGAAAAGAAAATCTATTCATCATACATGCTTCATCCCATATGATTAAACTTGCTTGTTGAATTAGTTCTGCTTTTGGGCTCCCTCGTTTGATGGCACACGTTGAGCACTCTGTTAGCGCAAAAGGAATTGAAAATCTTGAGTGTGATGTCCTTCCTCTAGGCAAAAGCAATGCTGCAATCCCACTGGATGCGACATTCAAGACAACTTTACCACTTGATCTTAGAGAAGCAGACAATGATTTCCAAAGAAATGTTTTTCCAGTTCCACCGCAACCATGTTGGAACACGGGTTTACGCCTACGTCGTACTAAATGTGTTCGTTTTATGACCGGTTTTGATAATGCCAAACCGCCATGACACAACAAGGCTAAAGTGAGCAAAACCAAGGCAAAGGAACATGGCATGATGATTTGAGAACCAAGAACCAAGAATCAAGAACGAAGAATTAGAATTGTATTGACTCGGTCTTATTGTGATCAAGACCGGCACAAACTTTCAAAACAAGGCTCTCTAGGCTCATTTCATCAAAATAATTTTTACAAATTCAAAAAAATTTTTCATAAGTCTTCAACATGCCTAAAAACACTTGGATTTCGCCCAAATCGAAAACCAACCCATCCGGTGTTCGGGTTTCAGAAACCGGCTTTCGGCTTTCGGTTTTCGGTGTTGGTTTTTGGCGTCCGAACCAACCAAGTGGTTTTCAACTTTTTATGATTTTTTTTACTTCTGGGCTTGTTTAAATAGTTCTCCATAAAAAACGCTTCAAAAAGCACCTTCCGTTTTTGGTCGTTTAGTGAAAACCATGCGAAACGGCGCAAACTTGGTTAGCCGTGATTTTCAACTAAATGACGTGGTTTTTAAGATGTTTTACTTGATTTCTTAGCAAAATCTAATAAACAAATGTTTTCAATACTTGGTGTTTATTTTGGAGAACTTACTTTTTTTGACATCGGCTAACGACATGACTAAACCAACCATGGGTCTGGCTAAACCAGCCCAACAGCGATGTTGGTGTAACCAACAGCGCTGTCTGGCTTGGGTAGCTGAAAACCATGGTTTGGCGTTAAGTCTTCCAACAGCGATGTTGGATATTAGACATCACTGTTGAGCCAAGGTTGGGTTTCTAGAAACATCTAGAACAACGATGTGGTCTTCCCTACAGCGCTGTCCAACCTAAGCCAAAAATATAGTGCATTGGCAAAAAGTTTTTGGACAGCGATGTTGACCCAGCAACAGCGCTGTTAGGCCAAAATCTCCCCTTCAAAGTCAGACCGAAACAGCGATGTTCATGTATTGAACATCGATATAGGGACCTGACTGTTGGAAGGAATTTAAGGCTAAAACTTTCCTTGTTTAGAAGTCAACAGCCAAAACAGCGATGTAGGAGTATTGGACATCGCTGTTGGCATGACCGTTGTTTCCCAATTTTCAAAACCCAAGCCTAGAACAGCGATGTCCAAGCCTAGGATAGCACTGTCTGGGTGAATTTCAGCAGATCCAAATTTAATCAAATCCCACAAATTGTGCCAATCACCCCTTAAATGTTTTGGTCCGTTGGAGCCTATTTTTCTACTATAAAATGGGGTGTTTGGGTCTGTTTTAATCAACACATTACTTCACAACTCCTACTCTTTCATTGCAAATCATTCATCCTTTATTCATAATTTTTTTGAGAGCCATTTTTTGAAGCTTGTGTTGTGTTCTTGAGCGTTCTTAGTTACTCATTATCCACTCTAAAAGAGAGTCTTGTTCTTGAGTGTCTTAGTGTTGTATATACATTAAGGGAAGCTTGTTTCCCTTGGTTGTACGAAGGAAAGGCACTTTCCTTCGGGTTGAAGTCTTGGAGTGCAGTATCTCCGAGTAAGTGTTGTTGAGGCTCGTGGGACTCAAGTTCTCAGGTTGTAACGGTTTGTTAAGCACCCGTAAGTTTAACGGAAGTAGTGTAGCTCGAGAGAGTGTCTCGGGATACTGGATTAGCCACACATTATGGTGAACCAGTATAAATCTTGGTGTGCTCCCTTCACGCTTTCTACGCTCTTTACTTTTCACGTTCTTAATTTTTTTATTCCTGCGATTTTTACGATCAAACGCTATTCACCCCCCTCTAGCGTTGGTCACTTATTCTAACAATTGGTATCAGAGCCTAACTCGCATCCAAACTTAACCGTTTGAGAGTAAAAGCGATCATGGGTTCTTCTTCTAGAAATTTGTATGCAGGAATAGGTGAAGGGCAATCAACCACACGGCCACCTCTTTTTGATGGAATCAATTAAACATATTGGAAGGAACGAATGAGAATCTATATTCATTCCACGAACTTCCAATTATGGTTGGTTATCAAAAACGGGGAAGAGGTGCCAATGAAGAAAGTCGGAGATAAGTTGATCCCCAAGACCGAAGACGAATTTGATGCCGAAGACATCAAGAAAGTAGAAAACTATGCAAAGGCGATTAAAACGCTCTACTGCGCGGTCAATCTCGATGACTACCGCAAGATCTTCTACTGCTCAACCGCCAAGGAGATGTGGGATAAGCTCGAGGTGACGTACGAAGGAACGGACCAAGTACGTGAAGCCAAGATCCACTTCTTCACCCAAGAGTATGAGATGTTCAAGATGAAGGAGCACGAGAAGATCGACGATATGTTCGACCGTTTTTCCAAGATAGTCAACGATCTTCATGCATTAAAGAAGACGTACACCGATAGGGATCTTGTGCGAAAGATCCTACGGAGCTTGACATCCGAATGGCAATCCAAGGCCGATGCCATCTATGAATCAATCGGCACATCAAATGTCACCATCGACGGTCTAAGAGGTAATCTAAAAACCTATGAATCTACTATTCTTAATCCGTCTTTGAATGACCAAAGGAAAGGGATAGCACTAAAAGCCGTCAAAGAATCAATGATGGATGATTCAAGCGACGATGATGAAGTCAAGCTTGTCATGAAGAAGTTTTGTAAACTTCTAAGAAAGAAAGAAAAGGTTGAGGATGGCCCTGTGTGCTATGGATGTGGGAAGCCGAGCACATTAAGAACAAATGCCCGAAAAGCGAAAGGAATGCTCGGCACTTCAAAAGGCAAAGGGCATATATCTCTTGGGGTGGCGACTCCGGCGACGAGTCAACCGACCAAGACGAGGATGAAGCTGCCAACCTTTGTCTCATGGCACACGAAGACCAAACCGACGATGTACAAGAGGTATGTACCATTTCTTCCGACTCTTATACCTTTGAAGAAATGCAAGAAGCATTTCACGAACTTTATGATGAATTTGTTAGCGCTTCTAAAATCAATAAATCATTAAAGAAACGTCTCTCCACCCTTGAAAATGATTTTGAAAAACTGGAAAAAGATAATGAAAAGTTGAAACAAGAAAATAAATTATGGCAAAAGAAGCACCGACAAACCGAAAAGTTCCTCAAACGAATGTGAATCATGTAAAGCTTTAAAGGAACAAGTCACTAAACTTGAGAGTACGGTTAAGAAATTTAATACTCCGCACAGAGATCTTAATTTACTCCTTGACACCATGCATTTTTCTAAAGAAGGAATAGGCTTTAATAAAGATGAAGTTAAGGATAAAGAAAACGTTGAACAATCACCTAGACAACCACCTAAGGTTCAACGTAAGGAACTTAAAAATCAGAATAATTGAAAACCTAGTCAATCTAAGAACACTAGACAACCTAGACAAAAAACTAGGAATGAAAATGGTCATGATAGACAACGTAAGAAAAATAACTTTGTGCAGACAAACATGATTAGGCCCCCTAGATATTATCAACCTAGGCATATGTTTAACCTAAACGTAGTATGCCATTATTGCAATAGGGTAGGACATATAGCTCCCGTGTGTTTTACCAGACATAGGCACCTCACCTATAATGCAACACACAACATGTTTGGTGCTAACGAAAAGAAATCCTTTACAAAAGGATATTCGTATCACAGGCAATCTCCACAAGAAAATGCACAAAAGAAACTGTATTATTTCTTCTACTTTGACAAAAAGAAGAAAGTCCACATTCTGTTACCGGAACCAACACAGATCATACCGAGATATCGGCACTCCGTTCAGGTAGATTAGAACCCGCCAACCACGGGACGACGGGTTGGCCAAGGTAACCCTTAAATAATCATCAAAGCGTGTGTGTGTGTGTGTGTGGAAATAAACATTCAGTGTGTGTGTGTGTGTGGATAATAAAAACCAATTAACCTCCAAGGACCCATAAAAATATTTTGGGTACCTAAGTTTCTTTTGCAGGTACCCCGTCCATGAAATCAGGGCGGAACCATGCAAACAGCGCTGTCTAGGAGACCGAACAGCGCTGTTGAGAGAAACACCATCAACCAGCTTGTGCCAACAGCGCTGTACAAGAATCCAACAGCGCTGTCCCAGGGAGTTCCCTTTCCTAATACTTTCCAGAATCTTTTTCAACATCGCTGTCCCTTTTTTCAACATAGCTGTTTTTCAAAACACCTTATTTTCAAACAAAACCAGAAAGTTTTCCAACAGCGCGGTACACCATTCAATAGCGCTGTCCATTTTTACAAATTTTTTCTCTATCGTAAAACAGCAATGTAGAGAAACCCAACAGCGTTGTTCTAATGGGTTCAAACCCTTACACAATTCCAGAAACTTTTGGAACATCGCTGTAGGATACCCAACATCGCTGTCCATTTGACTCCTGTTTTTTTAAAACTTGACGCAGAACAGCGATGTACAAGGCACAACAGTGCTGCCCTAACAGCGATGTCCCCTGTAGAACATCGCTGTTCTGGTCAAATTTTTCAAAAAAATATCCGTTGGCACCAGCATTAACTGCTCCAACAGCCATATTTTTGAAAATCTGGACGTTGGAGACCTCTTTTTCTATAAATTGGGACCCACTCTCTTCACTTTTACACACACAAACACAATTCTCTTCAATATCTTTGCTTATTTCATCATCTCTACTTGTCTCTTTTGAATTTTTTTCCATCATGGGCAAGGACAAGAGCAGGGCTGCCACCTCCGGGAAATCAAAGTCAAAATCCCGGGCGCCTACGACATCCTCCGAGGAACGCCTCTACTACGGCGATGGGTCGTACCTCTGGTTCGATTCCGAGGAGGAGCGCACCCGCTTTCTCACCTTTTTCTCTAAACGGGTTGTGGCTCCCCCACGAATCATCCTGGAGCGCTACCCGGAGTTGTAGGGCTACGACGACCTAGACGCGCAGCTTCATTAAGCAGGCCTTTGGCCGTTCGTCTCCCGGGCGCGATAGGAGATCAACACGGTGCTGATCCGGACCTTCTACTCCAACCTCCGGCATGAGGACGACGAGCTCTACTTGCTTGTCAAGAGCACGTCGATTGAGCTCACCGTGGAGTAGCTTGGGCGCATCGCCAGCCTCCCCTTTCAAGGCAAAGACGTCTCCCACTATGGCGGAGAGGACTGAGTGCTCAACAACGAGGGTAATATCCTCAAGGAGCTTAGCATCAGTGAGCTCATCCGCCATGCCTCGGGCCGCCCCACCATCCGCTCCGCATACCCCGAAGGCCGTCTCGTCCTCTACATCGTGTCCCGGATCATCAAACCCCGGAAGCATGGCCACAAAATCATGTCCGGTGAGGACCTCAAGCTCATCCACGCGATCATGCACTCGGTCCAATCAATTGGGCGAAGTTTGTCATGATCAACATGACGATCTTCGCGTCCACCGACCAGGACCATCTCCTCCCGTACCCGTTCGTGGTGATGGACATCCTTGAACGGCTCAAGGTAACCACCACCGTTGGCCCGCTCACGAAGGCCACGAAGCTTTAGACAATCAGCAACCAAACCTTCACCAAGCAGTCGGACAACGCCGCGACTGCCACTGCCGCGCCACGCCGCACTGCCCCTGCCGCTGGCCCAGCCGAACCCAAGGCCTCGGCCAACCTCGCCTCCATCACCAACTCCCTCAACCGGCTCCACCTCAAAGTTGACGGGATGGAAGGCTACCTTGAACGGCTCGACGTGGCTGTTCAACGCCAAGGGTACGCCATGAACGCATACTTCCAAGGCATCAACTACGTCCCTCCACCACTCCACGACACATTCCTCCGGGAAGTGTACGGTGATGAGGACGAAGAGGATGGCTCCTTCTCCCAGTCAAGCTTCCCTGACGAGGATAAGTTCGACGATGCCATTGATGGTGATGAGATGGACGCCGACATCGACGAGGAAGAAACCGAAGACGAAAACTAGGACACCCCTAGAATATCTATCTCTTCGTTTAATTATCTTGTTTTTTAATGCTTCCGTTGTACTCTGCTATTTCCCTTTAATAAATAAAATTATCTTTTTATCTTTTTGTTAATGTCAAAAGAAGGAAGAAAAGGGCTATGCATATACTAAGGGGGAACGCCTCTAAAAACGAGACTGTTTGATTTTTAATCCGACAAATTTTTAAGCACAAATTAAGGGGGAACTTTTTCACAATTTTTATGAAAATCAAATATCCCTTAGTATGCATATCCCCGTCTTGTTTGCCATTATCAAAAAGGGGGAAATCGTTGGAACACGGGTTTAGGCCTACGTCGTACTAAACTGTGTTCGTTTTATGACAGGTTTTGACAATGCCAAACCGCCGTGACACAATAAGGCTAAAGTGAGCAAAACCAAGGCGAAGGAACCTGGCATGATGATTTGAGAACCAAGAACCAAGAATCAAGAACGAAGAATTAGAATTGTATTGAGTCGGTCTTATTGTGATCAAGATCGGGACAAACTTTCAAAACTTGGCTCTCTAGGCTCATTTCATCAAAATAATTTTTACAAATTCAAAAATTTTTTTCATAAGTCTTCAAAATGCCTAAAAACACTTGGAGTTCGCCCAAATAAAAAACCAAGCCATCCGGCGTTCAGCTTTCAGAAACTGGCGTTCGGCTTTCAGTTTTCGGCTTTGGTTTTTGGCGTCCGAACCAACCAAGTGGTTTTCAACTTTTTATGATTTTTTTTTACTTCTGGGCTTGTTTAAATAGTTCTCCAATAAAAACTCTTAAAAAACCACCTTCCATTTTTGGTCATTTCGTGAAAACTATGCGAAACTGCACAAACTTGGTTAGCTGTGATTTTCAACTAAATGACGTTGTTTTTAAGATGTTTTACTTGATTTCTTAGCAAAATGTAATAAAAAAATGTTTTCAATACTTGGTTTTTATTTTGGAGAACTTACTTTTTTCGACATCGGCTAACGGCATGACTAAACCAACCATGGGTCTGGCTAAACCAGCCCAACAGCGATGTTGGTGTAACCAACAGTGCTGTCTGGCTTGGGTAGCTAAAAACTATGGTTTGGCGTTAAGTCTTCCAACACCGATGTTGGATATTAGACATCGTTGTTGAGCCAAGGTTTGGTTTCTAGAAACATCTGGAACAGCGATGTTGTCTTCCCTACAGCGCTGTCCAACCTAAGCCAAAAATATAGTGCATTGGTAGAAAGTTTTTGGACAGCGATTTTGACCCAGCAACAGCGCTGTTAGGCCAAAATCTCACCTTCAAAGTCAGACCGAAACAGCGATGTTCATGTATTGAACATCGATGTAGGGATCTGACCGTTGGAAGGAATTTAAGGCTAAAATTTTCCTTGTTTGGAAATCAACAGCCAAAACAGCGATGTAGGAGTATAAGACATCGCTGTTGGCATGACCGTTGCTTCCCAATTTTCAAAACCCAAGCCTAGAACAGCGATGTCCAAGCCTAGGACAGCGCTGTCTAGGTGAATTTCAGCAGATCCAAATTTAATCAAATCCCACAAATTGTGCCAATCACCCCTTAAATGTTTTGGTCCATTGGAGCCTATTTTTCTACTATAAAATGGGGTGTTTGGGTCTGTTTTAATCAACACATTACTTCACAACTCCTACTCTTTCATTGCAAATCATTCATCCTTTATTCATAACTTTTTGAGAGCCATTTTTGTGAAGCTTGTGTTGTGTTCTTGAGTGTCTTAGTGTTGTATACACATTAAGGGTAGCTTGTTTCCCTTGGTTGTACGAAGGAAAGGCACTTTCCTTCGGGTTGAAGTCTTGGAGTGCGGTATATCCGAGCAAGTGTTGTTGAGGCTCGTGGGACTCGAGTTCTCAGGTTGTAACGGTTTGTTAAGCACCCGTAAGCTTAACGGAAGTAGTGTAGCTCGAGAGAGTCTCTCGGGAGACCTGATTAGCCACACGTTGTGGTGAACCAGTATAAATCTTGGTGTGCTCCCTTCACGCTTTCTACGCTCTTTACTTTTCACGTTCTTAATTTTTTTTATTCCTGTGATTTTTACGATCAAACACTATTCACCACCCCTCTAGCGTTGGTCACTTATTCTAACAAACCATACACAAAAAAGAATCCTCCCTTTCGAGCAAACACAACTTCCATTATTTCATCGTATATCTTCCGCTGATCTTCATTCATCATATATAAGTATCTCATAAGAAGCTTCAAATTTATTTATGGAAAAGCTTCAATACTTTAATAAAAAACATTTATTTATATAAAGATAAGGAAGAGGATATAAAAAACAATTTGAGAAGATGATGAGGAGAAGTGGAGAACAAAAAGGTCGAGATCCATATCAGATTTGTTGGCCTTAAAATCATAGAGCAGACCGTCAATCTACACATCAATGACTCTTGAATTTTTATTCTGTGTGTTGATATTGATTTGGGTGATTATTAGTATTTATATTTCTTATCATTTCAGGTATTAGTTATATATAAAAAGTAAACAGACTAAAGTGTGATTTGTTTTTCAATATTTAAGGACTAGAGAAACTTCAAGAGACTATAAAAATTAAACTCCACACCATAAAATATGTTCAAAAACAGGAGGCTATAAATCTGAAATTAAGGGTCATCCCCACAACTAATTAACCCTACTTTATATATATATATATATATATATATATATATATATATAGGGATTGACTCCAGTCAGATGACATGTTTCGGTCAGATGACACTTTCGGTCAGATGACAACGAATGCTCATTCTGAATCAATGTAGTGCTCATTCTTAAACAACATAGGATTCATTCTCACACAACTGTTCATCACAATGTAGTGTTCATTCATAGCCAGCGAGACGACAACATAGGGTTCATTTTGAATCCACGTAGTGTTTATTCTAAGACATAATAGGGTTTATTTTCACACATTTGTTCATTATAAACGTAGTACTCATTCTGATAGAACCTAGTACTCATTCACAGTCTGCTCAGTGCAGTGTTCATTCTGAATTAAGGTGGTGCTCATTCTCAAACAAGGTGGTGCTCATTCTGATGCATGTCATCTGACCAAAAGTGTCATCTGATTGAAAGATGTCATCTGATTGGAGTCGATGCCATATATATATATATATATATATATATATATATATATATATATATATATCATATATATAAAAGGAGAGATGAAGCGTTTAGAGAGAAGAAGGAGCAGCGAACCCCGCCAGCGAGATTTTTACGATCACACTTCCCGGAAACCTAATTCCAGAAACTATGGCTGTTCTACGCGATGCTCCTTCTATCCAAATCAACGACCATCCACACAAGCTCCTGAAAAGGCAAGATTTACAGATTATAATAATCACTGGATCCACCGCAACAAGGGTAAGAAACGAAGATGGCCATTCAGATCCCCGGACTCTAAAGCGTTGGTGGATTCCTATGTCTTCAGCCACTCTCGTATGGTCACCTTGGGCGGTAAGGAGAAATCTTCAGCTACAAAATCAAGCCGCAATCACAGATTTACATTCCGAACCCAAACTAAGGTATTTGAGCTATTCCACTCGTATTATAATAAAAACTTCTGCATAACTGAGTGTGGATATAAAAGATTTCATCTCTGGTTCGATTTGGATACATTAAGATGGATTCTAGAATCTCTTCCAAGGATATCTGTAAACAGAGCTTGGGCTCTCTTTTCGTTTGGTGATAACCGTACCATAGAGCTAGCAGCTGGTTCAAACAGAAGGGTGAATTTGTAAAAATTCAAGAGAAAATAAAGGAAGGGAAAAGATATATCTTAATCCTCTCAGGACCTAAGAATACTGATTTGATTCTGTTCTTCAAGGTTGTGTCTTCTTTCATTGATAAGGTCACCAAGGCTGCTACAACTAAAACTCTTGAGATTGCTCCTGCCACAACCATAATTGCTCAAACTTCAGTACAATCTCAGATCTTACCAACAGCAACGATAACTGAGCACCTTTCACTTAATCCTCCCCAATTGGATACATTGGGAGTTGAAACACCCGAGTTACAATTAGAAAAATATCAATCTGGTAGTGCAGAACATTATGGGTTGATTGAGGCTGATTTGCAAATCAAAGGTGATTACAAAGACACTATTTCTCTTGAATGTGAGAGCCATTTGGATGCCACCCAGGGAGGAACCCACTTCCCTCCCCTGCCTAGTAGTACAATGTCCCCTTTTGCTCCACCCTTCATACCTGTGTTGAAAAATACCTTTGCAGCACTTTTCTCTCAAGGGCATGGAATTGAAAACAAAGTCAACGAACATCTGGATCCATTTTCAAAGATCCATGACAGGAGCCTAGTACATAGTTTGAATGCAGTGGAGGACCTTATAGAGGAAAGGGATGGACCTATACTCTATACTCACTCTGACGGAGAGGATAGAGCATTCATAGACTCCAAGCTTAGGCCCTTGCAAGTTGACTTCTCAAGATGCTTCAAACAACCCTTAAGCCTACGCAAGGAACTTAGGGGCACCCGAACATTTTCACCTTCACAAATAGTTACTAGAAGCAAAGCAAAAATTCTTGCAGAAGGTAGGAAATTAACTCCACTGCTTTGGGAGGAGTCAGAATCCCAAGATTCGTTCGAAGAGGAAGTCATCAAATGCTTTAGACTTTGCTGCCCAAACAAAAAAGAGATGTGTCCCAAGAAAGCCAACAAACCTTTGACAAAAAGTCAAAAGAAGAAAGCAAAGAAAAGACTAAAAAAGAGTATGGCAACAGATTATGA